CTCTGTTTTGCTCGTGGCCCCACTCATCTCGGCGCCTTGTACCTCGTCATGGCCTTCGCATCAAGCTGGCCACGGCCGCCGCTGCTCGTTCGCAGCTCGCAGTACCCCATCCAGGCCTCCCACTTCAAGCTGACCCCGGCCTCCGCTGCTCTGACGCAGATGCACGCTCTTCTTCGGCATCCCCTCGCTGGCTTTCATGGTCTGAGCGGGCTCCTACGTCTTCCCCCTCGTGCTCTGTTCTACTCCGCTTTCGTGCCTCAACTCGCTCCCAATGCACCCCGCCGCCTGCTACGACTGGCGTCTGCCTGTCTTGGACCACGCGGCGCCCGAGGACTTAGAAGCGTGTGCCCGCCCAAGGGGGCGGATCCAACATGGGCACGTCTGAATCTTCACGCATGCCCATGCCTGCGCGAAGGGGGCATCCAACATGCGCGTGGCGCGTGCGCATGTGGCTACTGGTTTCACGCTCACTGTCGCCAAAGAGGGTGTATCCCATGGGGGGCGCTGGATCTTTCACACACGCGACAAAACATGGTGCGCGGATGGAGTCTCCAACGTGCGTGCAGCGCGTGCGCATTCGGCACGTGCTTGCAGATGTGCTGGCGCCAAAGTAGATGTCCAACATGGGGGCGTCAGATTCTTCATACGGCACAGTACGTGCGGGGAGTGGCGCGTGCGCATGTGGCACGTGGTTTCACAAGTGTGGGCGCTAATCGGGGAGTCGATGGCGTCGGACGATATACACGTGCAAATGCGTGCCCGAAGGGGGCATCCAACAATGTCCAACACGCGCGTGGCGCGTGCGCATGGGGCCTTTGTTTTCACCTGCGCGGGCGCCAAAGTGGGGTAAACACGGGGACGTCGGATTTGCCACACGTCGGAAGTTGGGGGTTGAGATCGAAGCGAAGCGGAGTCGCCCAACCAGAACATCGATTTCGATGTCAGTTCTTGCCGTGCGTGACGTGCATGCGGGCGAGGCGAAGCGAAGCTGCGCGAGTTCCTGCTCTAATAGACGCCAGGTCGGGCCAAAACGAGGCGCCTCGGCCCAGCCTGGCCGGATGGATGCAAGTTGTCCCGATGGTCATCCCGATAGTTGTCCCGACGGTTGTCCCGATGGTTGTCGCGATGGTTGTCCCGATTGTTGTCCCGAAGGTTGTCCCGAAGGTTGTCCCGAAGGTTGTCCCGAAGGTTGTTCCCATTATTTTCCTGACGGTTGTCCTTACGGTTGTCCCGATGGTTGCCCCGATGGTTTTGCAATGCCATCGTGCCAAATAATGCGCTCTGCCATGCCATAGTGCCCAAAGTACGTTCGACGAGGCCATAATACCACCTCCCAGAAGAAGGCGCTCTGCGGGGCAACAATCAAAAAATGCGCCGCGTGGCAAACAACGTCTGTATATGTATATAAATACAGACAACCGATGCAGATCTAGTCCGACAGATGGATCAATAGAATAGGTGGAGAGGGAGTGAGATATAATAATGGACGGATCGACAGAGAGATTGGTAGACAGGTCGGTAAATAGATGGACAGGTAGACCAGTTGTCCCCGGTGGCTGTCCTGATGGTTGTCCCGATGTGCCCCGATAGACAGATACTGAGATCGACACGTATGTTGATAGTGGGATCGATCGATAACCATTGAGACCGACAGATAGTGAGTCCGACCGGCGTATACATAGCATTATGCATTCGTATGTACAATCATGCATGGAAGTATAGATATGTATGTGTGTGCGCATACGTATGTGTGTCTGTCTGTCTGTATGTCCATATGGATTTAAATACGTATGTCTGTATGTATGTAAGTGTGTATGCATACAGGAATTCATGTATGCATGTACTCCCGTATGCATGTCTGAATTTGTTCATGCGTGCATGCATGCATGTATGCATGTATGTGTGTGAGTAAATGTGTATGTATGCATGCATGCATGTATGCGTGTGTGCTTATGCAGTTATGTACCGTGATATAGAGAGAGTCAGTGTTATACATATTTATATGACACCAAAGAAAAACCCAAATCAGAATTATGGGGGGCTATGGGGCTTTAGGGCTTTAGGGCTATGGGGCTATAGGGCTATAGGGCGATGTGGCCATAGGGATTTTGGGCTAGAAGCCTTTAGGGCTATGGGGCTATAGGGCTACAGGGCTATAGGTCTATAGGGCTAAGGGCTATAAAGCTATTCGGGCTATAGGGCTATAGGGCTATATACGGCTATAGGGCTTTAGGACCATAGGGCTACAGGGCTATATGGCTATAGGGCTATAGGGCTATAGGGCTATAGGGCTATGGGGCTATTGGGCTATGGGGCTATTGGGCTATTGGGCTATTGGGCTATAGGGCTATCGGAGGTGAGGGGGTGAGATCGAAGTGGAACGGCGAGCCCCCCACCGGGAAATCGGTTTCGGTTTCGTGTTCGTGCGCGCCGTGCGTGCGAGGCGAAGCTGCGTGGGCGGGCGAGAAAAAGTCTCCTGTGGCTGAGGCGCGGCCGGACC